CTCTCGAGAACAGTCAATGCGAACGGATCGCTTCTCTTGCAGCGAGTAAAAGACGCACGCCTAGACGGAGAAATGCGCAGATCCACGCGGAGGTGATCGTGGAACGGACCGAGGACGGGGAATAGGGAGTCTGAATAATCGAGTCGAAGGGCTGGATGGGTCGATCAACCAGTCGGTACCGGAGTGGTTCGTATCCGGTAAGCGATGACTGCACGTAACGACCCTAGCGGTACCGTTTCTATGGTACCGTTCGTGGGGATTAACGCCCCTCTCGCGTCGTCGGCCGCTCCACTTTCATCCGGCTGCTGCTGCTGCTGCTGTTGCCGCCGCCATCGCCGCCGCCGCCGCCGTTGTGGGGTGTGAGACCAGCCTTGGCCTGGGACCATGGAAACTGGATAGCCTTCCCGTGAAACGCACGCACGCACGCGCGCACATATGTACGTGTATGTATAAATATGGTACACGCACGCATACACGCGTACATATGTATTGGTCGGTCGCGTATTATAATTATCATGCGGCTCTCTGCGGAGAGTCGAAGAGAAGGAGACGCTTGGAAACGATCCATCGATCGCAGCGAATCGACGTACGTCTTCGTCTTCCGCAGGTCGGCTCGTCATCGTGAAAAATCGGAGGGCGGTCGCGAAAGCTCGAGCTTTATTTAGCCGGCGATTGAGTGCTCCGCGCTTGATCGATCAGTGCTCGAGTCGCTCGGAAGAGAATTCGGTATCAGAGATGGAAGCGGTAATTTGCGCCGACTCGGCTTATACGTCACTCTTGGAAAATTTAATCAAGATCGAAAAGTGAATGCGCACCGGTATCAGGCGCTTTCCCAGCGCTTTCCAGACAATTAACGGAATGAGATATCCTTGGGATATAGCTTCAAGGTGGGATTCTCCGTGTTGATTTCTACCGAATAATAAAAATAAAGTCACATCAGTGCTACTAATTGCTCTTAGAAGCGCCCGAGAAGGGATCTGGCGCATTTGCTTTTTCATCTTGATTACGTTTCTTAAGAGTGACGTCGCTCTAAGTTAGCGTTAGTCAGCGTCTTCGCTCAATTTTCATCTACGAAAAATCCGGGGAGGATCCATCCGTTTCTTTGATTTCGAGCGTTTAAGTTTCGAAGTCGGCGAACGATGACGGAACTTCAAGTGCTCACGAACGACCGTCCACTCGATGGCAGCTAATAATGAAGAGCGATTACGTAAATTAAATTCCGTTAAAAGTAATGTACCGTGGCGGTGAATTAAGTTATTGTCCTCTACGTATAATAACGTCATATCAGCGTCAGAGAGATCGGCTCTCTAAGCAGGATAAATGATAAGAAGCAGGGTCAAACGGCGTAATTGTCAACCGTGCGCGAGATGCAATATCAATAAAAAAAAAAATTCTCGTTTTCTACGAACCAATCGGCACGAGAGCGGTTTAGTGTCAACGCAGTGAGATATAACCTGCTTCGACTTTCCGAGAGTTTTGCAATTCCCGCGAAGTTTTATGGAGATACTATTACTAAATAACTAAACGCGCGAGAAACAAGAAAACATCCCGCGTGTTACGAGATGAAAAAAAAAAAAAGAAATCTTTGAAACAAGAGAGCTAGGAAAAGAAGATTATTCGAGATTGTTCGTTCGAACACCTTGGTGACCTTGGTGCACCTTGATGCACAACCGCGAAACTAAATTGCGGGCAACGTGCGAGGTAAATTTAATTCCGGAAATTGCGCGCGGTGTATCCTCGACGCGGCTTTCCACCGCCGTGATAATACATCGCTGTTTATTTTTTTCGAATGTATATCGGCGAACGCGAAGATCGAGGTAACGCCTCGATAGCGATAACATAGGCGGCAACATCGCGAGGTTACGCCTGGCGTCATCAACGGTATATTGTCTAACCTTCGTATCATCGTGGTGTCATATGATAATCACGGTCGCTGTAACTTACAAAATTACTTGAGACGCATGCACGCGTTTCTTTTGAAGTCCGGACAAATTTCAATGTTTCACATTCTCCGCAATACCGGCAGTAAGATACATTTTTGCCGGAAAGTAACCGTTAGAACAATCCTTCAGGACTATTCTGCGTATTTTCCATATGAAAATATGCAAGCGAATTTGAGAGTTGACTATTAATCAAAAGTGAGACGAAAGCTAACACACAAAGAAATTATACAGATTTGTTTGTTCTTTATCTCTTATTAACTTTCTGCAACTTCAGCTTCCATGGTCGAAACGTGACGTGAAAGATACGAAAATGCGAGCCAAGCTTTGTTTTTCCCCCGCCTCTTTCTTTCTTTTTTTTTTTTTTTTAAAAGATGGCTCAACATTACGTAGAAGAGCGGAACGCGGCATGGGTGAGATATTTATAATGCAAATACGGAAAAATAAGGGACGCTCGCTTGTAGGTAAGTGAAGGCAAAGGAGAGGGCGCGTTGCAGAAATAGAGTCGTCCTGTTATCGACACCACCGTTTGCTTATCGTTGCACGGTCAATATCTCGCTCCCTCCGCTTCCCCTTTTTTCAACTCTCGTCTTCGCTTCTTCTTTCTCCTCCTCCCCCCCTCTCTCTCCCTCCCGATTTCGCGACGTTGTTAACGCGCGTTTGCGCGCCTGTCTGCATTCGGGTCTCTTATCCAGGCTTTATCGGCTGATAACACCAATCTCGGCCATCGTTGGCGGTCACAGTGAGGAAAAAAAGGAAATATACGCGCATCCAGGAATAACTACTGGCGAACGAAATTGTGGCGGCCGCGCGAGAATGCGCACACCACAACGCGATCTTCGGATGGTGTTGAAATCGCGGGAGGCAAAGAATACGGCGTGGTAAAGGGTCAAATCGATCTGCCTTTTTCTCTATTAAAGGTAAAAGATTCAAAAGCGCCCGATAGAGAATTCAAAAAATGAACAGCTATAAACTGTTGTTCCAATGCACAAATCCAAATTGTAAAAAAAGTTTGGGTAATTATCCAGTTTAAGGGAGTCAGCTCCAACGGTCTTGACTTTGGCGTGTATTTTAGCCATCGTTCATTGTTCATTAAAAAGTTGTTAACAAAAGAAAATTCATAAATGATGTTTCTCGGCATGTATATATTAAAAAATAAGTAGTGTAGGGGGTTTATAAAGAACCGAAGTATATAAGTGAAACAGTACACATATATACGCGGGAGTTGAGAAGCTTCGCTTCTGCTCTTTATAAAAACTGACCGAAGCTTACTCTTTTGTTTCCTCGTCAAATGTCATGTTTTCGATAGAACAATACTTTTAATCTACATTAATTATGTAGCATCGAAAATATGACATTTAACAAGGAAACAAAAGAATAAAGTTAGGATAGTTTTTACAAAGAGAAGGGATAAAGCTTCTCCCCTGCGTATACTCGTATATATAAACTTCTTACACTAACTATTTTTTAATGCATAGTGTCAGAAAACGACATCATATTTATGAAATTTCTTTTATTCATTTATAATTTTTCAATAAACAATCAGCCAAACGGCTAAAACCTTTTAAATGTTACCCAGGGCGATGGCCTTGATAACAACATATTTCAACGCAAATGGCATTGAAAGTGAATCTCCTAAACTGAATAATTAAAACAAAGTTTGTATTTATTGTATTTATTTCCTATTTCAAGAGGTTTTTAATATTTACTCTTTTCAATAACATCAATATCGTGGAAAATATATAAATTATCTTTCTGTATAGATATTGCAATAAATATTCTTATTCTATCTTTTTAACGTAACTTACCTTTTTATGTAAATGAAGAAGTAACGACGATTAAAAGTGCAAACGAAAAAATGTGTATCGAGCAATAGTGTTTTGCGTTTTTCTATTTTGCCGCTAGTTTTAAGCGCACCGACGAGGTATTATTCAAGATCGTCGGTCTTACGAGAGTATATGTTCATGTAAAACTGCAATTTCATAGAAATACAACGTATAAAATATATTACAGTGTATACGTGTAAATATTGCTAAATGTAGCTGAACGACCACCCAAAATATTATGTAGTTCTCAAATATTCAAGTTTTCTGTCCGTGATGATAATCCAAGGTGTCTACTCAAATCCGAAAGAAAATTTCTTGAAAATTCCCTGATTCTTCAAGTAATTTGCTAAAAATTTCAGGTAAAATGAAAGTTATTTTTAAATGTATCTTGCAAATGAATATATATTTATTGTGCAGGGTCCTTAATATTTCTTATAAATAAAAATCAAGAATCTCTCAAGTTTCAATGATTAAATTTAGAAAATTTTGAAAGAAACTGTAAAGATTCCAAGAAATAAATATTTTATATTGTATAACATTTTCAAATTTTATTTTCAAAAGTTATTAAACAATTAAAAAATTATGTAATGCATAACCGAAAAATGTGTANAACATATTAAACTACAAATATCTATTTGAATTAAATAAAATTGCAACTAACACGAAATTGTCTTCAATCAAAATAATACTAAATAAACTAAATATCGGATTAGTCGTAAAATCAGTGTGTTGTAAACATCACGGCAATATAATTAAACATTTAAATTACATACATATATACGGAGAAATGGGATAAAAGAGAATGTATTATATATATAAAAAAATTGCCAATTTATAAATATTAAACAGAAACTTAAAAACAACTTTAAATGTATATATACACAGAATGTCCATAAGTTCGCGCCTATGATTTATACAGCGCTGTTCCCTATTAATTAGAAATCAAGTCGAAAAAAATTCTGAATTATTTTTTCTTATGATTCTTAATGATGAAAATATTATTAAATAAAATTCAGTCAATCACGCGATATTTGTCCACCAACTACGCGTTAATATGGCTTGTAGATAAATGTATAAATTTCTAAAATTTCCTGATTTCCAATAAAATTCCCTGAGAATTACCTGATTTTTTCAGGCATACGCAAATTCCCCGAGAATTCAAGATTTTCCAGGTTTTCTCAGATAGTAGATACCCTGTAATCCATCCGAGATATTAACAGGCAATTGAACTTACCATTTGATGCTCTTTTTGATGATGTTGCTGACGATCTTTTGCGACTTCCTGGACGATATAGACATGGTGTCTTCGTTCTTCCACTTCGTACCCACGTCGTTCCCATTGGTTCGTTGTTTACATTCCTTAGTAACGTTGTCCTCGTCCTCAGCATTCGCCGGCGTTGGTGTATCCTCCTTTGCCGACTTCTCAACCCATTCCGCGATGTGATCCTTTTGGTCGGCTGAATCGCCACCACCGAGCTCCTCCTCGTTGAGAAGCTCGCTAACCGCGGTCGGAGGACCGACGATTCCGACCTCCGGTTTCTCCTCCGACTTCTCCGAAGATTCTTTCGAATCCCTCTTCTCTTCTGCGCGTTCTACAGTCACGGAAGCTGCGCTTTCCATCGCTGTATCAGTTGCGTTATCCTGCTTTTCAACAGTTTCCACCTTCTTCGCCTGCTGTTCTTTGTCGTTCTTGTCTTTACCATTGTCTTTCGCGCTCGTGGACTGTCTAGCTGATTTCTGGAAATACTTGATATCCAGATCTTCGTGTACAACTTTCAAGATTTCGCTCAGTCGCTCTTCCGCCTCGGAGAGCGCGTTGACCCGCTCGTCCGCGTCGTTAGACGTTTCCGTGGAACAATTTTCTTCGAGTTCATTTTCTTTGGTTTCAGTTTTAATAGTCTTCTCGGAAGACGATTCCTTTTCGGCATCAGTTTTCTCTTCCTTGGGTTTTTTCTCAAGATCGGTCTCTCGAATGTTAGGTTGCTCTTTAGAATCGAGCTCTTTAGGATCAATGGAATTATCGTCGACTTTCTCCTTTTTAATGGATTCTTCAATTCCCTCGGAAGTAGATTCCGCGTTGGTAGCATCCATCGCTTCATCGGCGTTCTCTTTATCATCGCGGGGATCTGCCTTATCAATCGTGCGCGTTGATGTCTCCGACATCTCTGTCTTATCCACCGCGGATTTGGTGTCCTCTACGGTATTTTGTGCCATTGTTGGGTTAGACGTATTTTCAGAAGACCGTTCGTGACATATTAATTACAACGGAATTGCATCGCGAGCTTTTAGCATATCATCGTCAAATGAATAATTACTGCTGCGGTACGAGTGTATCGTGACAAGTGGAAGATGCTTCCAGTAGCCAACTTCATTCTGAATATGCGTTCCTTGACTCGTTCCTGCAACGAAGAACAGCATTTGTGAGATTTATGCATGATAAAACTTACAAAAATATTCATATCTTAACGGGTGATCTTTCTACCCGGTCGGTAATCGACGCGAACGTGTCGTCGAAGCGTCGAGGTTAGGAAGCGTCCGATATTACACAAGAAAATTTCCCCGCAATTTCACGCAAGTTTCGACATCGCTCCTCGTTCTCACGAGACGCTAAACCGGATTTTCTAAGAATGACGTCCGACAACTCTTTACACACGCTTACAATTATGGTGCAATAATGCTCCACACGGTTCTAATATTTCACGATCACGTCGAGTCACGTTAACGAACACTCGTGTGCGCGTGTTAACTTTCATTTGGAATTCGTACGGAAATTTAACAGAACAACGAGATATCAACGGAACGTCTTTCGGCGCAAATGATGTCTCGACAAGTTTGTCATCATTTTCTTCATGCAGAGGACAACAATCGTCCGCTCGGAGGAACGATTGAATGAGCTCTTCCACGTTCGTGTGTGGTCGCTGACGAATCTCTTCGTCGTGAATCGCGGCATTTCCGACGCATCGCTTGTCCCCCGCGGAATACTTCGTGTATTCCGAATATTTACTATTTCAGCATTGAATGTTCGTGCGACACTTGTCTATCGCGTTACTCCGTGAACACTCAATCGCCCGTCGGATTAGAAATCCGTCTGTATCCGGGAATGCATCGGCGTCGGAGTAACACGAGCTCTCGACAACGACGACTCACTTAACCTCTACGCGAGATCAACCGACGTCTGCCGCGCGCGATACGCGTACCGAGCTCGCTCGAGCGCGCGCAAAAAACAGCAGCTTTGTTTTGACGAGCGAGAACGATTTTGCGGAAGAATACGGTTGGACAAACACACGACTAACCTCGCTTGTGGCCGGACGCGTTCCGGGCAGTAGTCTCGCAGCAGGGTGCGCGCGACGTGTCAGCCAACGGACGTCGATCGGGTGCTCATCTCCAGCGGCGGGGGCAACGATAGCTCACGTCGAAAATGGCAACGAACGAGCGCGAGGGAGGCGATAAGACGAGACAGAAAGACGGACGAAAGGCGAGATCCCTTCGAGCAGCGAAATTCCACGGAGCAAGAACGAGAACGCGAGTCTGCATGCGCGAGGATGGTGACCTCTTGTCACTGCCGTCAACTGCAGCGACAGAAAATGAATACTCGATATACGATATACACGCAGGGCGTCATAAACGCCTCACCGGACCGGTTACGACATCTGGTTCGCACCGGGCCTACGCGAGTTCGCGGAGCATAGTTGGTAACACTGCGCCAACCACCGTCCCACTTTCTCCGCTGCACTCTCGACAGTTTTTCTTTCAACTTATACGACGCAATAAACAGGTTATTTTCTAACACTTATGAATATTAAAATTATCGTCGAGAATTTCCGTGTGCTTTCGACACTGTCCGTTTTCGTAATAGGTGTGTTAATTACTCCAGTCGGAGTAATTATCGATTGCGTCGAGTTGTATCGATACTCGCCTCGAGAATCGCAATCTCTGCGATAACTTCAAGCGATTGCGAAAAACCGTTAGCAGCGGTAGTTTAGTTTTGGCAAGCGCTCCGTGTTTCCTCTCGCGATTTCGGCTCGTCGCAGGTGAGTTAGAGTGCGAATTACCGTAAAAAATATCGGACTTGAGCTTCGCGTATCTGTCGCAGTAAAATGCTGCTGAACACCCGCCGAAGGTAAATATCTCACAGTATGGGACGCTGACGGTGTTCAGGAATTGCTGTGTATTTATTTATAGAGGAAAAGGTGGTACAACGGCCCTCCATTTACATTTTGTATAATAACTTTGTCAATAATTAATACTTTAAATTGAAAACTGAATGATTCGTCAGTGTTGTTCAGTCAATATTATCCCAGGAAAAAAAAGATCATATATGAAATTTGCCTTTATATGACTATATATGTCCACAATGAAGAAATACTGTTGTTTACAAATTATATGCAAATACAATCGAAGTAAATGCTTCTGGCTATTTGTGCTTCTGACAATACATGACATCGACATTTAATTAAATGACGTAACATCATTTTTTTCCTACAGACATATATATGATCATATATGTGACCATATATATGGGCAAAATTCATATATGATTTTATATAATCATATATAATCATATATAATCATATATAATTATAAATAATCATAAATAATCATAAATAATCATATAAAATCATTTTTTCCCAGGATCTTTACAAATAGTATTGGTTATGATAAATTGGCCAGTGATAAATTATTATTGTTTAGTAATTCTATATATTATTCGTACGAATAATAAAAGTATCCAGATATCACAATGTCCAAAATCATGACATAATCCAAGTAGCACAGTTTGTTTCATATGTTTTTCATGTACTTAAATGTATGTAACATGATTATAAAATCTTATATACGTTTAAAGAACTTATATGAAATTAACAATTAAGATGTCTTAAAGATGTCTTCTCAGGTAACACATGTTAGTTTCATATATGTTCTTCAAACATATGTAAGACATCTTAAAAACACCTTATGTCCTGATGTTATCTCAGTATTAAGTAATATTAATTTATCACAGCCAGTAATACTTTTCTATAAAGATAGACCTAAAGTTATGAAATATTTGTCACTTAAAACGTTATTTATAAAAATGTGGCGACACTACATAATTAAAAATAAACAGGGTTAAAAAAGCAGGGGTGATAATGAAGTCCCAACTAAAATAGATTTAAAAAATTGGTTTTGTTTAAAATAACAGTATTTTGTTACAAGGATATATATGTATAAAAAAACTTTTAGAAGAAACAACAATGAATTTTGGATGAATTTAGATATTAACTTACTTGTTAGAAAATACAATCTGTCAGGGCAGCAGCGCAGTGCGGACAGAAGTGCAGCATAGATTGAATCGACTTATCAAGTAACTTATCAAGTAACTACCTCGATATGGAAACCTTGAAAAAATGGTCGTATTATTAACATTCTTAGGAAGTCACAATAGTAAAATGACTTCCTAGGAAGTCACATTAGTAAAATGCCATGTTACTATTTAACTTTGCATAATTTGGAATGCTACTACTCAGTTAAATAAAATAAATAAAAAAATTAAATAAAAAATCAAACCACTTAAATATATAAATATACATATATTGTGTGATAATATACTCAAGTTTAAAAAGAACGAGGAAATATGTATACAACGTATATAATTAAATTCTAAAACGTTTCGAAACGCTCTAAAATAAAAATACATTATAACAAATTTTTAACGACTCTTGTATTGGCACATTAGCGCCGCTACGCCTTTACAAAAAAGTATTACCACCTATGATAAATTGGATAGTGTTAAATTATTGTTGCCCAGTAATTTATTATTATATCGTAGGCAGTATTATATATAGGCAGGATTATTATCATAAGTAGTAATACTTTTCTGTAAGGGCGTAACGGCGAACTACTAAATAAACGATTACATAAGAAATCATAAGAATTTGCTATCTAATAATGGAAATATTTGGAGCATCTACAAGAGCCATGATACTACATTCTCCTCTAATGTTATAGCGGTTGTAATTTCAAATCGCTGCCGCTTGTATTTTCGAGCTATCTGATGAGAGTCCGTCAAGCGAATAGTCGAATTGCAAATACCGAAAACAAATCTCGTGCATTTACCATAGTCAAATATCGTCGGAAAATTGTGTAACAAAAAATGTCGCAAACTGAGCTATCGTAAGTGTTTGATAAAATTACAAGCGTTCTCTCGAGGATCTCGCTCGATCTTGCCTTAATGTTTACATCGGGACAATCGCTCGGAGTCACACGCGACTCAGGCTCGCCAAGGTCGAGCTCGTGCGCGAATCGTCATCAGGAGGAGTGCTGAATTTAAGTCTCGCGCATCTTTTGTGAAATGAGTAAAGTGAAGTATCGCGGAGTAAACTATTGTGTCGACTGAACTTACATGCGCGTTGGTTTTTTGAATGCAAATAAATGCTTTTGTTCGGCGATCCAGGAATGTACATATGCCCCTGCGACCTGACTTTGTTGTTGAACTACTTATTTTGGCGAAGTCGTATTTTTCGGTAATACGCATTTTTTCGTTTCCACATTATATAGTCGGGTATTAACATTTATTTATTTATTTAGACAGCCGGTTAATGGCGTTTGGATGCTACCTTACTAGCTGCCTGTAGCTGCTACATATTGAAAAAAAGAAGGAGCTTCTTCTCGAATAGTTCAATATCGTTCAGTTTTTCGCTGCAGTGATGGCGCGACAGTTAGAATCGCGATAGTTGTACCAAGTTATTTGCGATTTCAATTCGCCAAAGGTGGAGTTTTATGCACGAACTATCCGGGAATGTCGAATGTACAGTGCCTGGCCATATTATTAGACTTAGCACTTTGATTCTTTAATAGAATACAGGTTAGGAGGAGAAGAAAAGCTATTAATTTTATGTTTACTCGATTAGAATAATTTTTGGTGTCACACAGCGCTTTTACCTTTGCAATCTTCTGATGTGTCAAATCACTTGTTTTATATAATTTTCGTAAACAATATTAATATTTTTCACACAAAAATTTATTTTTCTGTTAGTAAGCAAGAAATTTGAAGTTTCAAGTTACAAATAAACAAGAATAAAATTAAATTTCAATTAATACACACTCAAAACACATCTGTTTCCGTTGTCAACAATGCAGCTAACGCGGGTTCATACTTATTCAAGGTCATTGTAACAGCCGAGTGAAATAACGTCATAAGAAATACTTTTTGTAGAATAATGGTTCCTTAACATAATTCGATCGATATATGAGCCGTATTATAAAGCTGGTCCTCGGAAGTCAGTGAATTGTAAAAAGACGCACCTAATAATATGGTCAGGGAACATTCTTCGGTGGTGAATATCTCGCGAAATCATATCATCGAGAGTGCCGATTTAAATGTCGCGCGTGTGTTACCATGTTACAGCAGTTCGAAGTTCAAGTCGTTATTTGTCACGTTTTTAACTCACCGGAAAATTCCACGTGCAAATCATTGCCGGGAATGCCGAATGTAAATTTCGCGTGTCTGTCATAGCAAATTTCGTTAGCCATCAGTCAGGAATGAGTATCTCGCGAAAGGTGTTATATCGAAAGTGCTAAATGTCGCACATTATGATGATTAAAAGTTCAAATCGCTGCCATCGTTGTCGCTTTGACTCACCGAAGAGAAATCTCGAAAGGATGCAAAGTCTGTCAGGACATCGGCAACCGGACTCTTACCATCCCAAATATGGCTTTACATTTGGATGTTGAGTCAACGTTGGCAAACCTTACCTGGAATCCTCAGCGATGGTCGATGAAGATGAAAGGAGTGACGCTACGTCACCATGTAAGTTATAATTATTTACAGATTGTAAAGTTTACTGCGAAACGCATCGCTAAACTCGAACCGGAGTTTAGTCCTGAAATCGTTGATAGGATTTATCCTGGTCGTAACAGATTAGGCCTACGAGGCTTTCTTTGTCTGGCCTCTCTTCCATGTTTTGTGCGCGATCCTACACCTATTTTTCTAATATTTAGTTGACCTTCAACCTGTGTGCGAGATGGACTTGTATCGGTTCACGTATATAAGTTCTTGCTATTTTATTTCAATATACCAGGTATCTGAAACCTAGGATATAAATTTTCAAAGGACTGGAAAGTCTATTATGTTACTTGAGGGGTTGGGCAGCAATAGCCTTTTTACAAGTCTTTAGTGTTCCTAAAGTGCTCGTTTTTAAAAGATTTACGAGGATTTTATCTTTTTTGTTAAGCTTAGTAACAGTGAACCCTCAATTAGAAAAGACAGATGACGAAATAATTGCTGCACACAATGCGGTCATTTCTGATGAGAAAGTTTTTATGTTAAAATAAAAGTTTTAAGAAAATTATTGAATTTTACCATATGCAATCATAAAATTTCAAAAAAATTGTAAAAATAATTGAGATAATAAGAACAATTAAATGAATTACAAATTAAGACAAAAAACTTGAGGTTTATATGGCTATTGCTGTCATTAGCCTAATCCAATAAGATAATTGGTTTCCTGACAGTCTAGAAACACAACAAATAAAAACTGTTATTAAACAAATAAAAACTGGTATTAAACTGAATAGATTCAAATAATTTATAAAGGACCAAAAAATGTATTGGGAGTGTGAATAAGTTCTCGTCGTTTCACCATCAGATGGCGGTATAAAAATTTTCTGTGTATAATTCAAGATAATGACGCATCTATATTGAAGTTCTATAACCTATGTTTAAAATCAGTGCGTGTCTTTCCATTAACCTATAAAGAACATTTTCTTTTTGTAGCGTAAAATATGTCAAATTTTGTGCCAAATAAACCGTTTTTGCGGGGAATTTTACTGCACTATTTTATTCAGAAGAAATCTGCAGCTGAAGCACACAGAAATCTTATAGAAACCTATGGTGATCATGCTCTGTCGGAAAGAACATGCAGAGATTGGTTTAACCGATTTAAAAATGGTGATTTTGATGTTCAAGATAGAGAACGCAGTGCTGCACCAAAAAAGTTTCAAGACGAAGAATTGGAAACATTACTTGCTGAAGATCCATGTCAGACGCAATCCGATGTTGCAAAATCATTAGGAGTTGATCGAACAACAGTTTCGAAACGTCTGACAGCATTAGGAATGATACAAAAGGAAGGATCTTGGGTGCCGTACGAACTGAAGCCGAGAGACGTCGAACGGCGTCTTGTCACGTGTGAGCAGCTGCTTCAACGACAAACAAGGAAAGGTTTCATGCATCGTATTGTGACTAGTGATGAAAAGTGGATATACTACAGTAATCCCAAGCGTAAAAAATCGTGGGGTTAAGCCCGGCGAAGCAATAGCATCAACGCCAAAGCGGAATATCCACGGTTCCAAGCTCATGCTGTGCATTTGGTGGGATCAGCTGGGAGTAGTGTATTACGAGCTGCTCCAACCCAACCAAACCATCACAGGAGATCTCTATCGACGACAATTGATGCGTTTGAGCCGAGCATTGAAAGAAAAACGGCCGCAATATGAGCAAAGACACGATAA